AAAAATATATAACAAGTTAGCCAACTCTCTTAAAAAAATGTTATCTAAAAACAAAAATCTCTCTTTTGAAAATTACCTGACTAACTTATCATTAAAAAATGGTAGCCTTTGGAAAGCGACAAAGCAAGCACTGCAATATAAAGTAACTACCCCACCTATCAAAAAAACTGATGGAAGTCTAGCCTCGTCAGACCTTGAAAAAGCTGAACTATTTAAAAATCACCTCTTTAACGTTTTCCAACCCCACCAAGATATTTCACCTGACAATATACCTATGGTTCTTAGGTATCTCGACGTACCATTACCACTTACTCTACCAGTCAAGCATTTTACGCCTAGTGATATTAAATTTACAATACAAAAGTACTCTCTAAAGAAGTCTCCAGGTTATGACCTAATTACTGCTGAAGTAGCTAGATGTCTACCTAAACGAGCTTTTATCCTACTTACCCATATATTTAATGCCATACTGAGGCTTTCCTACTTCCCACTCCTCTGGAAGTTCTCTAAAATCATCCTATTCCCAAAACCAAATAAGCCCCTTGACTCGTTACCTTCTTATAGACCAATTAGTCTATTACCATTTTTTGCGAAAGTTTTAGAAAGACTCATACTCAAGCGCATACATCCCTTTATTAATGAAAATAAAATTCTACCGGATTACCAATTTGGTTTTCGTGCCAAGCATTCAACTATCCATCAAGTACATAGACTAGTCGACTCAGTTTCTTATGCACTTGAAAAAAAATTATATTGTACCTGCGCTTTTCTTGATATTTCACAGGCTTTTGACCGAGTATGGCACGAGGGACTGCTATACAAATTAAAGAAATTTTTGCCCCCTACTTACTATATTCTTCTTAAGTCATATCTAACTGATCGATATTTTCAAGTCCATCATAAATCAGCGTATTCTAATATTGCACAAATTAGAGCTGGTGTTCCACAAGGAGGCATCCTTTCCCCAATTCTGTATAACATATACGCTTCAGACCAACCAACCACGCCTAACACATTAGTGGCAGACTATGCAGACGATAAAGTAATTATATCAACCAACGCAGACCCCATTATTGCATCGCATAATTTACAAAATCACCTTTCATTAATGGAAGTGTGGTATAAGAATTGGAGATTTAAGGTCAATCAAGCAAAATCAATTCACACAACTTTTACCCTTAAGCTTGGACAGTGCCCAAGTGTTACGCTCTATGGTACTCAAATTCCATCTTCTCCGCAAGTAAAATATCTTGGTTTAACCCTAGACCGCCGACTTACCTGGGCCCATCATACTCGTGCAAAAAGACTTCAACTAAACCTTAGAATCCGTATGCTTAAAACTTTGCTAATTAATAACAAACATACTAAATTAAGTATGAAACTTCTAATGTACAAATCCCTTATTAAACCTATTTGGACCTATGGTCTCCAACTATGGGGTAATGCTAAAAAATCAAATTTAAATCGTATTCAGGCATTTCAAAATATTACTTTAAGAAAATTAACTAATTCCCCTCCATACGTATCAAATTATACCCTCCATTCTGATCTAAAAATTAAAACTGTTAAAGAAGAAGCAATAACATATTACAAAAGATTCCACTCTCGACTAGCCTCCCACTCCAATCCCCTAATAAAAGGTCTTTCAACTAATTTTATTCCTGGTAATCCTCCTAGACGCCTAAAGCGCAACTGGTGTAGAGATCTATTAACTTAACTTTAGTTAAAAAAAATAAAAAATAATCACTTAAAAGTGTCATTAATGGGTGGCTCCTTTTATCAAGTATTTCATGTTATATTTTTATCTTAGCTAATACTCTTATTGTACCCATTGGGAACAGATTGTGTATATATTAATAAAGGAAAAAAAAAAAAAAAAAAAAAATATTATTATTTACATTGATTTACAAGACGGTGCCATGGTTAGCACTCTGGACTTTGAATCTAGCGATCTGAGTTCAAATCTCGATGGGACCTTGCAGCTTTTTGCATTTTTTCACACGTTTTTAAAAAAATTTTCCCCACACAATATACATGTGTTTGAATAAATGTACACATTTTTTATAATCCGTTAACAATGATGATAGATTTTAAAGTAAGAACCAAATTACTTTAGCTTCAATACAAAACTAAAAGTATACATGATATTTTTATTTTTTACAATAATGCGGTTGCTTATGACTGTGTAAAAAACAATAGATCCACGCTATAAAAACATTAATTAATTCAAAACTTGTTTTTATACGTTTCTATTTTTGCTTTACGTTTTATAATTCCAGCTGCAGTACCTAGACATTTTTTACTAATGTAAGAAAAATTGAAGTAAACTCACTGAAAGAACTTGTTTCGAAGGTATGTTTTGGTACTTGTATCTTATGACCTTTGTTGAAGGCTTACAATTGAATAAATATTCAAAGTTGGCCCTTTTGACATACAAGTATAAAAGTTTTTATCTTGGGCTATAATTGTTGTTTAATTTATTAGACTGATCTAAATCGATTATATTAGACCTATACGGGAAACCTTTGTAATTAGAACTCTTTGAAATAATTATTATAGTACCTATAGTCAATAGTGTATTCTCACGGGTGTGAGCTTTAATTCATGAGCTTTAAGGGAAGACTGGCAACCAAATGTTTTGAAAAAGGAGTTTTTCTCGATTTCGAATGGGAAGGATTGACTTTTTTAAATTTTTCGCCCAATAAAGTACCTTTCAGGTACACTTTCGAATTTATAGAGTTGCTAAAAATATCGTGACACCAAACAAAAAAACACAGCATTGTAAATACAATACCTTTTTTAAAGCTAAAAAATCTCTGTTTCATTAGTTGTGTGTAATCGTAATGTTTTAAAAAAATGTGTTATAAATTTGAAAATTATTAAAAACCCTGTAATGATTCTGATTATGTAGCCGTATTGAATTATTTAATATTACACATTATTGCAGTGCATATTGTTGTGTGGTATGTGACCCACTAAGTTATTTGTTTTACGACGATTTGTTATTTTGTTTCTTCAACGGTGCACAAATATAATGATGATTTTGACTCATTGACCTGTTCGCAATATGTATATTCGAAGCGTGACACGCACAATACACTTGAAAACCATAGGCGACTTGTATTCTTCTTTATTTTTTTATCATGTCCCTTGCGCATTTAACACACATGTGTGTAAATATAAAGTATTTTTTACCCATAAAATGACTTGTTATTCTGGCTTTTTTCATCGGTGCAGAGCATACAGCGATACTGTATTTTATATCAATCTAACTAACGTAAGGCATTTGTTTTGCGATGAGCTGTTTTTTGCTTTTGTATGTTTACCACCGAGCCAAAATCGTAACGACAGAAAATGTACTCAAACGACGATGCGCCATATACAAATAGAAATTTAGAAATTGTTTTGAAAAACAGACAATAACAATCGGCATTATGATATTTAAGCAAGTGTTTGTGTACCTACTGGTGTGCTCTAAAATCAAGCCTCAACTACAAAATTTACGGTTTTTAAAACTTCATAATTATGACACAGCAAACCTGGGGATTATTTAAAAACAAATTATTCAACACAATTTTCAGTAATAATTTTTCAAAAAAGATTAAGATAATAATATTATTTTAACGAATATCCAAATAGTAATTTCATATAAATTTCTATTCGAACACATTTTAAATAGATAAAAAAAAAATTGTAAAAAGCTGCTTAAATCCATTTATAAATATTAACTTTAAATAATTTGTATTAATACTGTTATTCGATTGTTGTAAAAATTATAGCCGGATCTTTTTGATTTATTGACTTATTTTAAGTAAAATAATCGCATTTTAATATTGAAAAAAATGCAAATTTAATTTATTTAATTACAAGAAACTGAAATTTTTTTTTAATGAAATCGGGCTTCCTGCATAACATGTTTATTAACTAGCCAAAGAACTCGAATCTCTTTACAGATTTGAAATTGGACCATCTATGTAGTCGAAATTTTGTCTGGATTTTTGGTCTAAAATAAACCCAAATGGCTTTTACTCATAAAAAAAATTATTTAAACTAAAAACAATACCTCGCAACTTATACAAATTAACCGGTAAAAGTATTGGAATGGTCGAAATTAATTTTAACCTCATTTTTCTTAAACATTGCCGATACAAAACTTCTTAAAATCAGACCACGTGCAATTCCCATGTAGCGTAGTGTATTACACATGATACAGAAAAGAAAATATCTGCTGATTGAGCAATACCTAATTTTTTTAATAGAAAAGGCTAATAAAGAAGAAGTTATAGAGCATCATAATTTAAAGTTGAAAAAGATGTACATTTTTTTGGGCGTTTTTATCGATTTCAAATGGGAAGGGTTGACTTTTTTTAATTTTTGGCCCAATAAACAATACCGCAATGATGTTAGTAGCAACACTCAAAAATGTTGAGTATTAAAGACGAATTACTCAAATCCATTAATTGATGTCGTTCATATAAATTGTCAGGTACCTAATTTATGACACTATAAATGTTTTTTTACATTTTATTATCTATGTACTTTGATAATCTATTATGTGGTCAGTATCATGTTTAAACTGAGATACTTTGTTTTTATCTATAAATGAGAAATTCAAGTTTTTGTACATTGTGCGGTTTTGTTTCCAATGTTTACATAAACAAAAATGTAGTAGTTGACAACTGATTTCAAAGACTCTACCGACATATATTCATTTTGGCTTTTCCGTTGGATTGAAATTCAAACATTATAACACTAAAAAATAGTCCCGAAGAAACGTTTAGAAAAATGTTGTTCTAAAAGTTTTCTACGGAATCAATAACACAGTCATGCCATGTTAAACAAACAGTCACTCTGGTTAAATGTTTTGTGTTTGTGCAGTGAATTGTAGTGTGAATTTCTTTGACTTATATGTATAAATATTAAAAAAAATGTTTGATCCAAAACTATTTACTATAAAACTGCCTGTTATTGAGCATAAGAATCATTATGTAGTAGATTTCAGATAAAGTTGGTAGCCTTATTGAAAGCCATAACATATTAATATAATGACGAATATAAACTATTTTATTTTTTTGTGTCTGACATTTTATACACCATCAGTCAACTCTAACCCAGATAAGGAGGTAAATATAGTTTTTTTCAACAATTACTTATACATATTATGTAAATCATTTGTATTAAATTCGGTACAGTAAACTAAACGTTTAACATGTATGGTATTCCACTATTGTTAAATCTCTTAAGTATATTTATACCTTATAAGTAACTAATTATTTTTAAAGTTTGTCAAAAAATAAAAATAAAAGTATGTATACAAAAGTAGCTTATGCTATAATTTTGACTAATCGATAACGGAGTTTTAAATAAGTACTTAAAGAGTTATAAGTGGCAGAGGAATAATAAAATTCAATGTTCAAATAAATATATATTTTAAATATAATTAAAAATCATGAATAATAATACTTAATATTATGACTAGACCAAATCTCGTGAAAATTTAACTTTGTATTACTGCTCCTATACCATTATTGAAAAAATATTATTTTTAAAATCTCCATATAAGGTTATAGTATTGTTAAAAATGTAAAATATGTAACAGGCACCAGCCAACAGCTAGTGGCTATAAACGTTAGTAATATTTAACTAATAAGTAATATATGTAAAAGGGGGGTTAAAAATAAATTATTTTATGTTCTTCTCTTGGGAATATATTATTTGGATAAAAAGATAATTTTTGATAATTTTTTTAGATTTTTAAACCCATTCCTAGATGTGGTTCGTGTCGATTTTATAATTTAAGTTTAATTTTTTTTTCGTTTAATAAAAAATTATAAATTTTGGAGTACGAACGATTGAAACATGAATCATCGACCATTCCTACTAAATTCAACAAGACATTGATTATGTGTTATTTGGGCCACTATGTTTTTGCAAAAAAAAAACCAGTATTATACCAGGTGATTGGTTAACTATGGACCAGTCAATAACATAAGATATTAGACTTTTTTTAAATTATTTTTTTTCATAATTTTATAGTTATTAGTTGGGACAGATTTAATATATTTTTTTAAATTATAACTCTTATATGTTAAAATCTTATAAACTTAAGTCTTAGCTTCGATGCAAAGCGAGAATTGGTTTTACTCTGATGTGTGTTCTTTTTTTATCTGTATATTTATTGAATAGAACTATGCCCCGACCCCACTGTACTGGTTTTTTAAATAGTAATCAAAGACCAAAGTGATTTTATCCGAGAGGACTAGTACAGTAGACTATAGACAATGGGTAATGTAATCAAAGCATAGAGGCGACGGAGAGGTCACAGGTCACAGGAATTATCATAAATAAAAGTGAACAGCTAATAATAGGCTATTTAAAGTACTCCAAATTAAAACATATGTCCCATAAATAAAAATATATTTGTTTCATTTTGTAGTTACAATTTTTTTTTAGTTGGCGAATAAAAAAACGAAATTTATCTGGAATTTTATCCGACCCATGTTCGTAAACCTCAATCATAAATGAGTTTTAGTCGTACAAATTTTGTTTTAAAGTAAATAGCTAATTAAATTGTAGTTTATATAAAAATTAGTTCACGGGTAAAAATTTAAGTTCATCTTGGTTAAGTGAATAATGGAAAAACTTGATTTTTTCGTGAATTTATTTAACTATACATTTATTGGAATTATGCAGTTCTCTGGCTTGTGTCACGTTAATGATTGTTCGGTTTAGGTTGCATCTCTAGCCTAAATGAATTTCAATTGTACTATTCGTTTTTTATGTAACGACGTGTAATAATATCAGTGTAATTAAATTTCAGACCGCAGAACTCCTTTTTCAAACGATTATAAAAGATATCAATCATCACCATAAGTATGCAACTCAATTGAATGGCATGACGCTTAGACAATTTATGAATTATATTCCTGAAGGTTCCAAAAACACTGCGCAGATTGCGGCATCGCAGCGTTTTGGTCGCTTCCATTTCGACGACGACACAGTGCCATTTACACGTAAACATTAATTTTACTTCATTTATCATTAAATAATAATTTTTAAGAAACTGTTTATATGAAGTTAACATAAAATAGAAATGGTATTGTTGTCATAAAAATTCCTGGCATTTAACATTTCTTTTAGTCAGTTGTGCGGTGTATAACTGCTGTTTGTATTCTAAATAATTTGTATAAATTGATCTTTCGCTTTTAAGTTAAAGAAAGTTTTTTTTTTGTTTCAGAAATCATAGATCAAGACGATTTTTATGGTCTAATAAAAAAAATCTGTAACATATTAAACAAAAAAATACATCAATACGCTGGACAAATAGAGGATGCAATTGCTATAAAAAACGCTAAAAAAAAAGAAGCTTCAAAACAAACTTTAGGAGAAGCTTCAAAACAAGCTTCAGTAGAATGAAATAAAATTCATTTAAATCCTTGTTAAATAATTTAATTCAATTATTGACAAATGTTAATTTTCAACTTAATTAAATGTGTGTAAAACATACAATTATTTTAATGTATTTATTTATTTGAGTAAAACGTCCATCAGTGGTAATGAGTACAGTACAAGTTAAAAAACGACACTTTAGGAAATTTATATACCTAATCGGCTTATTAGGTATATTATTTTTATTGATTCAAAAGTTTTAAATGTTTACCTTAGAACCTAAAAAAATACCCATAAATATAATACCACTGAAGTACAGTGATAGTCTAAGATAACATCATAAAACGTTTCATCCAGAAGATATAAGCATATTTTCTTAAATTTAACTTGTTAGACTTAGGTAAAAGACTTAAGGTGTACTAATTAAAAAGTTTCATATACTATTTGTAGAAAAAAATGGTAAAATGTCTGTTGTAACATGTTAAACATTATTTTTTACATTTAATTCAAAATCAAAAGTAATGATTCATCAAACAGATTTTTCAGGGTATATTTTTTTGAAAAATAATAATATTAAACGACAAACGTATAAAACTATAATTTTAGGTCATCGAAATTTAATAGTTATTAATTATGATAGAATAATTGTTTTTGATATTTCTATAAGAAGCAATTTTTTAAATAAATAAATAAATAAGACTACATTTGTTATCTAACACGGAAACGTATAGCTGTGTTATTCATTTGTCTTGGACTTTAAAAACACGAATATTGAAATAAGATAAATTATAGATTGAAGTGATGATTTCGTATACCTGTTCAAACTGTTGCCTGTTATTCATACATCAATTAAACATTAAGTACCTTTCAGGTATGATTTCTGATATATACAGTTGCTATTACAACTGTATGTTATAAAATTGCGTTCAAACAAACTCCACGGTGTTAATATTAGTGATGAAAATATATATACTAATTAAGAATAGCCTGTGGGAAGCAATTCATATAGTGCAGGATTGGAATAAAAAATTAGAAAACCATAACCCAAAATGATATAAAATCTATTTATTTGAGGAAAATCCGTGTAAATATGAAGTAACTTTAAAGACAACAGACTCCTGAAAATGTTCGGTAAACTTGGGTATAAATCTGAAGCTTATCAAACCACGAAAAATGCGTTGATTTTTTTATGAAATTTTCGCATCGTGTCCATGTAAGGGTAGGTAATTTGTAATTTTCACAAAATTTTACACAATTGACAATTTTTTATAAAATATCTCGATTTTTCATGTTTATTTATTTTGGCTAAAAGATGTGTTAAATCTTTTACACCAGTCTTGCTCCAAAATATCTCACCTCCAAAACAAACACAAGGGAAACAAAATAACGTTAATAATGACTTTGTGGTAGTTTCACGAGCACAAAGCCATTTGAACTTTTGATAAAGCCCAGTATTAAAACGACGAGTGTATTCATTTTGTCCTTTTTTTTTGGTTGAATTGGGTAAACTTGGTAAAGGTCTACCTAATTTAACGGTCATACCAAACGGGGGGATTATTTAAAAACAAATTATCCAGCACAATTTTGAATAATTAAAAAAAAAAGATTAAGATAAAAATATTATTTTAACGAATCATTATATTAATAGCTATTAAATTTAAGCCTTTACTTTAAGTCACCTTAAGTCTTTTAACTATGCCCAACAAGAGAAATTTAACAAAAGATACTACCTCTTCTGGATGGAACGGTTTATGATGTATCTTAGGTTTTACTGTACTTCAGTGGTACTTTATTTAAGGGTATTTTCTTTAAGTTCGAAAGCACAGTGGTAAAGATTTTAAACTTCTGTATCAATAAAGTACCTATTTTTTTTCTAATCTATAGTTTCTTTTCCTGTACTTGTCTATTCCTAGTTCTTACATAGTTTCCACAGTGTCACGACCCATTCGAACGTCTGTTTGTTCATTAATTAGCTACCTTATGGTGTGGAGAATTTCCTTTTTAATGCACACAGTTTCATAACTCCAATTTGAAAAATCTGGCTCAAATTTAAATTAAACGGTACACTCTCAATAGGAACATTACCCTCGTTTAACATTATATTTAAATAAATAAATACATTTAAATAACTGTATGTTTAAAACACATTTAATTTAGTTGAAAATTAACGTTTATAAATTTAACAAAAATTTTAATAAATTTCATTTCAATTTTTTTTTTAAACTATTGCTTGCTCTATAAGACATGTGTATGCTTGTACTGATGTTGGGAGTCTTCGGCAGATTTCTATTATAAGTTCATTAAAATCGTTTTGATTTATAATTGCTGAAACAAAAAAATAAAACTTAATTAAGATCAATTTATATATAAACTGTTAGAATACAAACAGCAGTTATACACCGCACAATACTGACTAAAAAATGTTAAATGCGATCAATTTGTGCAACAACACTACCATTTCTGTTTTAACGTTAACTCCATATAAAAGGTTTCTTGAAATTTATTATTAAATGATAAATTAAGTAAAATTAATGTTTACTTGAATATGGCACATTGACACCAAAACGTTGCTGTGCCACAAGCAGCGCAGTATCTCTGGTGTTTGTGAGATAACCCACATAATCTAAAAACTGGGTCAGTGTAATCAAATATTGAACTGCATTAGTATGCTGAGCATTGATGTGTTGTAAAATCCTTAGGTAAACGCGATCTAGCGTCTGAAATTTAATTACACTGTCATCATACAAAACTGATAATGCAATTTAAATTCGTTTAAACTAGAGATCAACATAAACCGAACAATCATCAACGTGTGATACAAGCCAGAGATTTGCACGATTCCAATAAATGTGCATTTAAATCAAATTCATGAATAAAAATAAAGTTTTTTCATTATTCTTTGAATGAAGATTAACTTAACTTTTTACCCATGAACTTATTTCAATATTATCCACAACTAAATTAGTTATTTACTAAAAAAAAAAAAATGTATACGGCCAAAACACATTCATGATTGAGGTTTACAAACAAGAGTCGGGTGAAATTCCGGACAAATAAAAAAAATATATATCTCCAAAATGAAACAAATTCATTTTACAGAATCCGACCAATTGATTTAAATGAAATACACACCCTTACAATAAAATGAAATGTTAAATTATAATTGTCAATGATAAAAATTAGGATTTAATGTTGAGTAGAGAAAATTACTTTAACAAAAAAAAAAAATGTTGGCCAATGTAATAGAATTACACAATTAAGTATGCATTCTCAGAGAAAATATAAAAAAATTACTTGATTCATGAGTAACTGGGTGTCTTCATTTGGAGGACCCACAACAGGGTTTACAATAAAAACAGAAACGATTAAGAAAATAATGAATTTTAAGTACATTTTATCTACTACTTTAGCTACAACAAATTAATGTAGAACTCAGAAATCACACGAATAGTTTTTTCCCTCTACAAATCCTAGTTTTATAGAGAATGAAAAGCCCAAGTATAAATAACAAATAAGTTTTTCCTTATTTGGATTGCTTAAAATGTTTATGTTGTGGTTATTGTGTACGTTTTAATATAAATTATATGTTTTCGTATTCTAATACATTTTTAAAAAGCGCAAGACAAATAAATATTACAACTTGAGTATTTTGAATACGTTTCCGTGTTAGTCAACAAATTTCACATCAAACCATATTTTTTCTTATTTCCATAAATTGACTTAAAAGCTCAAGACAAATAAAAAAAACAATCCTCGTGCTTAGATTTCGTTTCCGTGTTCGAAAACAAACATCACATCAAACACATCTTTCCTTTCTTGTTTCAATAAGTTTTAAAAGCACAACAAAAATAAATATTACAGCTTAGGTATGTGTTTTGAGTATGTTTCCGTGTTAGACAACAAATAACCCATCAAACTATATGTTTTCTTATTTCACTAAATTATTTTAAAAGCCCAAGACAAATAAATAACACAACTTATTTGTTTTAAATACGTTTCCGTGTTAGAAAACAAACATCACCTTAAACCATATTATTCTTACTTAAAGAAATTGTTTTAAAAGCCCAAGAAAAATAAATAACACAACCTATTTGTTTTAAATACGTTTCCGTGTTAGAAATCAAACATCATCTTAAACCATATTATTCTTACTTAAAGAAATTGTTTTAAAAGCACAACAAATATAAGTATTACAGTAAATGTGTTTTCAATATGTTTCCGTGTTAGACAACAAATAACCCATCAAACTATATGTTTTCTCATTTCACTAAATTATTTTAAAAGCCCAAGACAAATATATAACACAACCTATTTGTTTTAAATACGTTTCCGTGTTAGAAATCAAACATCACATCAAATCATATACTTCTTTATTTCAATAAATTGTATTAAAAACAGAACACACATAAATAATACAGTAATGTGTTTTGAATATGTTTCCGTGTTAGAAAACGAACATCACATCATACCATATTTGTTTTTACTTAAATAAATTGTTTTAAAAGCACAAGACAAATAAATAAAATAGCTTATTTGTTTTAAATACGTTTCCGTGATAGAAATCAAACATCATATAAAATCGTATATTTCCTCATTTCAATATGTTTTAAACGCATAAGACAAATAATGAATAACACAATTTTTTTGTAATATGTTAGAAAACAAATTTAATCTTATTAAAAAAAATAATAACAATGGCAATACGTCATAATATTTCCTAAAAGGTTTCAAATGAATATATGGAAAAAAACAGTACAGTGGGGTTGGTGCATAGTGGTAACGGAACAAATTGGGATTGGATAGGGTGGCCACTGTTAGAGTAACACATGTAATAAAAGTTCTGTTTAAACGATAACTGTTTAGGCAAAAAAATTCTCAAAATATTCATATTTTCAGAAAAAAATGAGTGTCTTACGCTAGTTGGTTTAGTAACATTTGATAACGGTTTATATACAGGGTGATCCATTTAATGTAAGACACTCATTTTCTGAGAGAATATCAATATAATGAAAATCAATTTTTCCCTGTACTTGTAGGTACATACTTTACTGTATTTATCAATACAAAATGTTTACCTTCGTCCCTTATACGTAATAGGAGTATGGACTCTGTTTATTCAAATGGGAAAATATGTTTTCAGTTTCATAAATAAGGAGAAAAACAATTTTAAAAAATGTCAGCGTTTGAATTTTTAATTTGCATCAGCCTGTTCGTTTATTTTTACTTTGCTTGGTCGGATCGATTATTTCTCACAAATTCAAACTCAGTTTCATAACTACCGTTTGACGCTTTTTGTTAAAAGGGCATATGTTACATTTTTTGTTAAATTTTTTTGCAACATTCAACTAGTATAAACTGGAATCGAATATTTTTACAATATCGAAATTTGGTATAAATGTCGAGTGCCATGCACGTCATAATGCACATAAAAAAGAAATGATTTACAAAGCTACCACATTTTGAAAGTTATGCAGTTTTTTTTTAATTTCCCAAAAGTTCACCTGTTGAAACATGTGGCCTTTTTACAAAGAGCGATTCAGTTAACATCCCAACTAAGTACACAAACTTAGGGACTTTGGTATAGGAGAGTCCTTCGTCAGGTACAATAATTATGTATTTCGTTTATTATACGGTATACACATAGGCGCAATTTCAATAAAAATGTTGAGGGTGTTTAAGCTCTGCATTTTCCAGGTTTTAAAATTTGAACTATTGGGTTAATGGTTTTGTTGAGCAAGAATGTTGTACAAACATTTATCATGTTAAATTTGTTTTACAATAATGTTGGTTTTTTATTACATTTTTATATAAAGACGTTTTAAGACGTAAAACACGAAAAATATTAGACGGTGCCCGTTTTAAACTTAGGTGTGCTAACGCCCCCTAATTGCGCCTATGCATACTCTTTATGTATGTAGTACAAATATACTAATAGTAGTATAAAAAGACAGAAGACTAAAAATTATAACAACCTAAAATACATAAAATAGTCATTATTTTATTTTACGTTCCGCTAAACTATAGGAGGTTACAGTTTTAAAGTTAAATCAAATTTTAAATAAAAAATAAGTCGAAAAATTAAGAAAAAAAATAAGGAAGTAGTAGTTAAGAATCGAACCCCGCACCCTTCATCAAATCGAAGGCAGCACTACGGACTGCAACCATAACGACGGTATTTTTTTTCATAATTCCGCACCTTTTAAACAGCGGTCGTATGTGCGTTCAGGTACGCATTATTAACACAGACGTGCGTGTCTCTTGACACAAGTCACACAACATACGGCTATACAAGTAGAAGAATGGAAAAAATATTGTTCCAAGCATTTTACTCGTGCACCTATGTAAAATAAAAATAAAACTGTGCCCTGTATTCGTTGGATATATTGTATTTATACTACTCGAAACAAAAACAACGACCGCCCGTCGGCGTGGAACGATGCGGCGGTCGGATGTACGACGTAACAACTGATAAAATTGAACAGTCACCCTGTATATTCCGGATTCTTACTTTTCGCACAAATACGGTCTACCTAATTTAAATTCTCGATTCCGGAAAAATACTTTCCGTGTGTTTACGGTTTGGTTTTTTTCCGTATTTTCACGGTCAGTGACTATACAATCCGAATATTTATGGATTCCATGACATTTCTCTAAGTAATATGATTTTTTCCTGATTCTTACAAACGAATTATTCGCATGTTCAACAACACTGACGTCAGCTGAAATTACCGTTTGATGTTTGACAATAACAAGCGGCTTTGTAAAAAATTCGTACACGTGATTCTTTTAAAATATATTCCGTTTAGTGTGGAAAAATATTAAACGGTATTGTAATAAATCTAGTGTTCAATATCTGTTGACGTGGTTTCCTTTATGGTGATTTTTTTTTAAAGTGTTCAACATTTGATATTATATTAACACGTATTATAACAGTATGCAGTTGTATGGTTTAGCGTTTATTATTTTATGGTTAAGTCCAGGTAAATAATACATTTTATTAATATACAAATTATTTATTTATTTATAATTTAATTGCAGCAACCTATAAGCGATACCTAAGTCATGTACATAATATTATGGAACATAAGGCTAACTTAAGCTAACTTATTTAAGTTCTTGTAAGAATTTTTCCTCTTTCTGCAAAAACAAATTATTGTACTCCGATTATTCTGTTGTGGGCGATATAAGTATCATAATTATATTATTTAAAATATTAAATAAGCAAATAGATGATAAATATAAAATCGGGTGGGTGTATGCTATATGAATAAATAAATCATACAAACTCGTCATAAAAATCAGCTGTTTTATTAATTTTATTTGGCATGTTCTGATTTGAAGGTTATATGGCACGGCCTGATATTACCGATGATTCGTCTCCCGAGGCTTCGTCTTCCGAGGCCAGTCAAATAGACAACACCGACATTTTGATCAGCGACATAGGCAACCTCTATCAAAGCGGCAAGTATGTGGTATTGAATTTATACCATTTAACTTTATTATTTTATAAATTTGTCAAGATTGTCTTATATACAGTTTATTAATACTCTAGCCCAAATTAAATTATATTCTGTTAAAATTATAATCTGTTATACCTGTGATAAGATGTTAAAAGTAAGCTGGAAGTGTGTCTCGTTTTGCTAATTCTAATTTTATTTAAAGTAGGTAATGGGTAGTACACAAAATGGCAAAATATCATATGCCACGATGCTTTCATTATGAACTATTTTAATTTTTTTTAATTTTAATGTGCTTTTATTTCACAATATTGCATCACGACAATTACTAATCAATATAATAAAAAAAAATAATAACAAAAAAAAAAATGTAAGCAACTAATAACATGCGAAAAAAGTAATACAATTAGATAGAAAACCCAGCTTTAGAAAGGAAGGGTATAAGTAGAACGATAACGGAGGGACTACGGGAATTTAATAGGAGTGAGGGATCCAGGGAGGTATAGCCGAACAAACTAAGATGGGAAAGTAATTTTTTCCTGTTGGGGTGCAGAGTAGGACAGCCAAGCAGAATGTGGTTAAAATTACAAGGAGCTTTATTAAGATGGAGAGTACAAAAGAGAAATGAGTTTAAGGAGAGATGGAAGGCATGAGCGGGAAGGAGGTTATGACCAAGACGGGTCTGGTAAAAGTTACAATAAGGGATCTAGGTAAGGGAGAGTTCCAGAACCAAGGACGGCGGAAATGGTAGGAGAAATCGCTCTATGCCAAGCAGCAAAAATATGAGGGAGAGAGTGCCATTTAGATAACCAGGATTAAGTAGTAACTTAAATAATATTTGGGAGAGATCAGAGGAAGGAATTCGGAAGGAAGAGTGGTATGTGTAGAAACTGGTTGAGCAAGCTAACTTATCTGCCACTTCATTGACGAAGATACTCAATTGTCCGGGCACCCACAGAAATTGGACATTTTTTTATTAAGGAAGAGGCTATATATTAGAGATTTAATGAGGAGATTAAGGGGGAGAAGTGAGGAATTAAAGGGTCGGAGGAAAAGGCCTGGAGGCATGACTGGGATTCGGAAAAATAAGAAAATTGTCGAAGCTAAAGGAAAAAAGGTGTTGAAGGGAATTAATAATTGCATAGCACTCAGCTGTAAATGAGGAAACATAAAAAAACTAATTTTTCAGAATAAGAAAAATTAAGTGTAGGTATAAAAAAAGAAAAACCAGCTGAATTAGGAGAAACAGAACCGTATACATGCATAAGGAATTAGGGAAATGGGATGAACAAAAGTCATTAAAGAGGAAGTTAACTAAACAATTAGGCAGACGAGCATGTAGCCTAGGAAGTTAGGGGAGATACAATTGGGAGCATAAGGAGGGCAGACTAAAGACTATTTGCAATTTTGATCACTAAAAAGGTTGTCCTAGCACACGTATTTAAAAGTTAAACTTTAACTCTTAAAAATGAGACACTAAAAGGTAACATTAATAAATAAATACGCAAGTCGAAAATAAACTTTAAAAATAAAGTATAATGGCACAAAACAACAGTCGATACAATAAGTTCTCCACCTAGTTAATGCTAAGCGACAAGACGTCTTTGGCTTGTTTTACATTCGCCTTTTATAGTAAAAAATAGTTAATATTTTTGCTTATTTTACATTAAGTTAATGTGGGTCATTTGAATGATTTGCCGAATTGGCATTATTGTTATACCGCACATAATATTTCATTATTTGAACATATAATTTGTTTTGCTTAATCTATTTACTTAAATTCTACTCTATGCTACATCTCTAATCCCTTATCTTTCATCAGACAACAGCGTGACAAGTTTTTGGTAACAATTTTTTCGGTTATGTGCTATAGCTAATTACCACCCCAACCCCATTCCCTCTCAAAGCCAGCTTTCCCCCAGCTTCCCCACCAACCCCATTTCCGTGACACTTTTTGGTAACGCCAGTTTTCGTAAAAAGTTTTACGGTTATGTGCCAGAGCTAAGGTATAAAAATGTCAATAATGAAGCTATTGTTTAAAAATATTTTGGCCGACAAATATATTAGCCAACTATATTAATTAGAAATTATACAAAATGTATTAATACTTTTTATATTCGTATGTGTATTTTTAATTAATTTCAAGACTTATTTAGTTATTCAGACGTTGTTTTGGAGGTACAAGGAGAACGATTGCGCGCCCATCGTAGTATACTAGCCTCACGAAGCGATTTTTTTAGGTATTGTATTCTTGTAATTAAGTATATTTCTTTAGGCCTTTCTTCTGAGGCGGATGAAAACTATTTGTTTTTTTTAGTTCACAATAGTTTACACTTCGTTGTGACCTAAAATAAGATCCCTATTATTTTTTTTTCTTCAATTACTTCCACTTATTTTTAACGCTGTTACCACTTTAAATATTTTGAAACCAAATGAAATATGCCGATGGACGAATTTAAAATTTTAATAAAACTTGTTTTATATATTTGGACACTCAAAACAAATGGTTTCATCATCCCAAAAATGGTATAATTAATATCAAGTAGAATACAATTATCTTGCTTACCTCTGAGAAAGGTATCGTTTATATCTTTTTAATCCATAATTTAATGTTTGTAATAATATAATGTATTATTTTTAGGATCTTATTTTATGGAGGTGGAAGAGAAGTTTCTAATTCGTATGTGCCCATAAAAGATGTATCATTAACTTTATTTCAAAGAATTTTTGAATATATTTATACTGGCCGAATAGATTTAAGTGATTTTGAGGTAACGAATAATCGACGTAGCTAAGCGGTTATTAAACGACATAAATATAATTTGTATAAGTGATTTATTTGGGATCGTTTAGCCGTTAGTATGTGTTCGAACTGTTAAATTAATAATGTATTCAATTGAAAAAAGGTTAATAAAGAAAGATTAAACACATTTTTTATTATTTATTTTACAGAATGAAGAAATTTTTGAATTACATAGACTTTCGGATTATTTTGGGATTTCACATTTAAAACTTTCACTGGAAAAGTATTTTCAAAGAAGCACTAACGAAAACAATGCATGTACGTTCTTTGCTTTAGCAAGAATTTATAAAAACGAGGAGCTCGAAGTCGAATTCCTCAAATTTATCGATGACAACGCCGAGGAAGTATTGGAATCCAATGATTTTAGGACTTTGTCATCTGTAATGATAATTAAAAAAAAAATAATAATAATAATGTTGCTAGCGTAAGGTGAAAAGTTGAGAAACAATTGTTTTTTATTTTTAGGAAGTTCTTCAAGAAATCCTCAATCGGACTCTTTTTATGCTAACGAATTGGTTATATTCCAAGAGGTTTGTCGCTGGGTCAATGAGAACCAAAACGAACTGGATCGTGATACAAAAATTAAAGTTTTATCGGCCGTCAGATATCCGATAATGAGTGTTGGAGAACAGTCTCAAGCTAGGGAATCACAACTGGTTAGGTCGGATATAATTTCAGCTGCCATGCAATTAAGAAGAAACACGTGGCCACAAGATAAGCCTCAATTACGGGGACGGCTAAGTATGCTTGTTGTACACATCAATTTGTATGTCACCAAATATGTTGGTTTTAATTATTGGATTTTTTAGTACTCGATGATCATATTCTTTATGAGGCTCATAGTTCTCCACTTCCCGATTTGAATTTAATTCATCGATCTCGGGTTTCGCGTTTGGAAATATCGACTTCGGTACCAATATGATAAGGTTGATTAATCCATCATTTGTTAACTTTATAGAAATAGTGTTATGGGATCCAGAAAGAGTTGACAGTAAAAAGTATGTTTTAAACTTATAATTATATTTTATACTGAAATAGTCAATATTTAAAAAAAATTATTTGAATGGTTATTCAAAACATTCGTGACTTTTATTTATTTAAAACCATTTTTATATGTTGAGAATTTGTTTTAATCATAAGTAAAGCAAACAAATTTATCAATGACCGAAAATTTTTTTTCTATTCTTAATGTTTATTAAGCATTAACTGTTCATATTTTGTATTCGTTATTCGAAAACTTTTCCACAACTCTGTTCCTAATATTTAATTTACAATCACTACTCTAAAATGTATTCAAATTGTTTGATATTGTAGGCGTTTCTCTTATTACATTGAAGTTTCAAATGACGGGCAAAATTGGGTGCGTGTTATAGATCATTCAAATGATAATTGTCAGGAAATCAAGAATTGTGGATTCATCCACAAGTTGTTCGGTATATACACATTGTTGGAACCAACAGGAGTGCTAATGCGCTTTTTAAAGTTTGGAGTCTCCGTTACAACACAGAAAAAAATTAGTTATAGTAATTCGAGGAATGGCGGTTTACGTATGATTGTGGTTTGTATGTATATTTACATGCATTTTTTGTACATTTTTGATTGTCATTTTCAACACACACTTCAAATGATAGCAGGGAATGGCTCTTTTGTAACTTTAAAAAATATTCTAAATTAATCAATACAAACTAATTCAAGATTAAATTAAAATAGAACTTTTAAGAATTTTAGTTGTATTTTAATATGTAAAAAAACGTATTGTTTCCAAGAAATTAGTTGGTGTATACTCAATATAAATATATATATATAAATGATGTGTTGTTGGTATAAGTATTAAGTTATTTTATTATAAAATTTTTTGTTTTTTAATATGTGGTATTTATAAAATGATTTAACTATATTTTAAAATATCGGACCTGTTTTGTGTATAAATAAATTATATTATGTTATATAATTAATACTGAGGCGAGTTTTCTTTATATCAATTTTATCATTCAATTATTTTGAACACATTTTGTTTATTATCCTTCAGGATTTATCAATAAAAAATGCAGTATGCAAATGTTTCTCTACCTAAGTAAATGGTACATTATTTTATATTTTCATAGATTTGCTTATTATAATTAGTTAATAATTATAAGTATTGTTAACTTCATTCTTTACCAAATACTCCTCTGTTGTAGAAATTTCATTATTTTTGAACTGCACATCTAACGGTTTAGGTTCAATAACTTTAAACGATTTTTCAAAGAGTGTTCTTATGCTTCATCATTTTCAAGTTTAATTTTGAACAAATTTTATATCTTCTAAACTCTATAACTGACATTTAATATTAGTTGTATTTCTGTGTGGTATATTAGAAATACAAAACGGTAGGTACTCACACAAAATATAAATATTATATTATCTATAACTATAAATAATATATTATCTATAATATATTATCTATGATATTATCTATAAATATTATATTATTTATAACCGTGTAGAAAAGTGATAGGGTATACCGTAGCGTGGAGGTAAGCTGTCGCTCGTTTTAAATGGTCATTGATTAAATACAAATCAAATACATTTGTATTTAATCAACGAAATGGCTAACAGATCAATCATTTCCCAACTCTTGTATCAAAGCTTGTTGTAAACTTACCTTCATCGACGTAATGGAACACCTTTCGCCGATTGTGTTAGAACACATAGACCCCACACTTGTAAAATTTATATTAATACAATAATATCAAAAAAAAATAGGTGTTCAATAAAACCAGTACAATGGGATCGGTACTATGTTTAAAAACTGATTAAATCTGTGAAAAACTAGCAAGATGATCTAATTACACAACTTTTAAAATTATTTTTTTCTCGACTCTGAGTCATGACGAAAGTTTGATAGTAAATTACTTTCGCAGAAGACATTGTCTATCGTATCTATTGGACTTATATTATTTATTGTTTTTGTGACCAACTTTTTATTTCCTCTACGGTGTCTAAAAGGCAGATTTTCGATTTTGTTAATAGAAATTATATACTGTTTTTTTTTATATGTGTATATATATATTTGTTTACTAAATTATTGTTTATACTACACCACCAATCGTAGCCCTGACTGCTTTAGGTTATACATAGTTACTGTTAGGTAAGGTAAACTTGCTCGAGTAGCAAAACCGATACGTTTCATATGATAACATTTTAATTATTAATTGTAAAAGTATATATTATATATTTATATTATTATTTACATTAATTTACAAGACGGTTCCATGGTGTAATGGTTAGCATTCTGGACTTCTAGCGATCCGAGTTCAAATCTCGGCGGGACCTTGCAGCTTTTTACATTTTTTCACACGTTTTTAAACAAATTTTCCCCACACAATACACATGTATTTGAATAAATATACACATTTTTTATAATCCGTTAACAATGATCATGGATTTTAAAGTAAGAACCAAATTACTTTAGCTCCGTACAAAACTAAGAACTGTGTCCAAAATACAATGATATACATGATATTTTTATTTTTTACAATAATGCGGTTGACTATGACTGTGTAAAAAACAATAGTTCCACGCTATAAAAACATGAATTAATTCAAAACTTGTTTTTATACGTTTCTATTTTTGCTTTACGTTTTATAATTCCAGCTGTAGTACCTAGACATTTTTACTAATGTAATAAAAATTGAAGTAAACTCACTGAAAGAACTTGTGTTGAAGGTATCTTTTGGTACTTGTATCTTATGACCTTTGTTGAAGGCTTACAATTGAATTAATATTCAAAATGGCCCTTTTGACATACAAGTATAAAAGTTTTTTATCTTGGGCTATAATTGTTGTTTAATTTATTAGACTGATCTAAATCGATTATATTAGACCTATACGGGAAACCTTTGTAATTAGAACTCTTTTGAAATAATTATTATAGTACCTATAGTCAATAGTGTATTCTCACGGGTGTGAGCTTAAATTCATGAGCTTTAAGGGAAGACTGGCAACCAAATGTTTTGAACAAGGAGTTTTTCTCGATTTCGAATGGGAAAGGTTGACTTTTTTAATTTTTCGCCCAATAAAGTACCTTTCAGGTACACTTTCGAATTTATAGAGTTGCTAAAAATATCGTGACACCCAAACAAAAAACACAGCATTGTAAATACAATATCTTTTTTAAAGCTAAAAAATCTCTGTTTCATTAGTTGTGTGTAATCGTAATGTTTTTAAAAAAATGTGTTATAAATTTGAAAATTATTAAAAACCCTGTAATGATTCTGATTATGTAGCCGTATTGAAATATTTAATATTACACATTATTGCAGTGCATATTGTTGTGTGGTATGTGCCCCACTAAGTTATTTGTTTTACGACGATTTGTTATTTTGTTTCTTCAACGGTGCAAAAACATAATGATGATTTTGACTCATTGACCTGGTCGCAATATGTATATTCGAAGCGTGACACGCACAATACACTTGAAAACCATAGGCGACTTGTATTCTTCTTTATTTTTTTATCATGTCCCTTGCGCATTTAACACACATGTGTGTAAATATAAAGTATTTTTTACCCATAAAATGACTTGTTATTCTGGCTTTTTTCATCGGTGCAGAGCATACAGCGATACTGTATTTTATATCAATCTAACTAACGTAAGGCATTTGTTTTGCGATGAGCTGTTTTTTGCTTTTGTATGTTTACCACCGAGCCAAAATCGTAACGACAGAAAATGTACTCAAACGACGATGCGCCATATTCAAATAGAAATTTAGAAATTGTTTTGAAAAACAGACAATAACAATCGGCATTATGATATTTAAGCAAGTGTTTGTGTACCTACTGGTGTGCTCTAAAATCAAGCCTCAACTACAAAATTTTACGGTTTTTAAAACTTCATAATTATGACACAGCAAACCTGGGGATATTTAAAAACAAATTATTCAACACAATTTTCAGTAATAATTTTAAAAAAAGATTAAGATAATAATATTATTTTAACGAATATCCAAATAGTAATTTCATATAAATTTCTATTCGAACACATTTTAAATAGATAAAAAAAAAATTGTAAAAAGCTGCTTAAATCCATTTATAAATATTAACTTTAAATAATTTGTATTAATACTGTTATTCGATTGTTGTAAAAATTATAGCCGGATCTTTTTGATTTATTGACTTATTTTAAGTAAAGTAATCGCATTTTAATATTGAAAAAAATGCAAATTTAATTTATTTAATTACAAGAAACTGAAATTTTTTTTAATGAAATCGGGCTTCCTGCATAACATGTTTATTAACTAGCCAAAGAACTCGAATCTCTTTACAGATTTGAAATTGGACCATCTATGTAGTCGAAATTTTGTCTGGATTTTTGGTCTAAAATAAACCCAAATGGCTTTTACTCATAAAAAAAAATTATTTAAACTAAAAACAATACCTCGCAACTTATACAAATTAACCGGCAAAAGTATTGGAATGGTCGAAATTAATTTTAACCTCATTTTTCTTAAACATTGCCGATACAAAACTTCTTAAAATCAGACCACGTGCAATTCCCATGTAGCGTAGTGTATTACACATGATACAGAAAAGAAAATATCTGCTGATTGAGCAATACCTAATTTTTTTAATAGAAAAGGCTAATAAAGAAGAAGTTATAGAGCATCATAATTTAAAGTTGAAAAAGATGTACATTTTTTTGGGCGTTTTTATCGATTTCAAATGGGAAGGGTTGACTTTTTTTAATTTTTGGCCCAATAAACAATACCGCAATGATGTTAGTAGCAACACTCAAAAATGTTGAGTATTAAAGACGAATTACTCAAATCCATTAATTGATGTCGTTCATATAAATTGTCAGGTACCTAATTTATGACACTATAAATGTTTTTTTACATTTTATTATCTATGTACTTTGATAATCTATTATGTGGTCAGTAT